AAGAATAGCTGAAAGGATGATGTGGGCAATGCTTTGGTGAAACCATCCGCTATCTGTGCAGAGGAGGATATTGAAAGGAGTTTGATGATTCATTGGCTCACTCTTTCTCGGACTATGTGACAATCTATGTCAATGTGTTTCGTCCGTTCGTGGAAGACGCGGTTTTCGGCTACGGCAATGGCGAATTTATTATCACAGAACACTGCTGCTGGCTTTGGCAACTAAATCTGTAAGTTATGTAAAAGAGAGATTATCCATTGGACTTCACATACAGTAGATGCTAGTGCTCGATATTCAGCCTTAGATGATGAACGCGAAACGGTGGCTTGTTTCTTCGATTTCCATGAGATCAAGGCTGATCCCTGGAAGATGCAGAACCCAGTTACAGACTTTCGTGTTTCTGGACAAGATGCCCAGTCAGAATCTGAGAAAACATTGAGCTGCAAAGTGTCATTCTTCCGGTAGAACAAGCCTTGGCCAGGAGCTTTCTTGATATATCTGAGTACTCGATGAGCTGCAACTAAGTGCTCATCCGTAGGGGCATCGACATATTGGCTGAGCTGCTGTACTGCATATGAAATGTCAGGGCGTGTTGCAGTTAAATACAGTAGCCTCCCAATCAATCGCGTATAGCCAGGTATGTCGTTGAGAATGGTTCCCCCATCTTTGCTCAGTTGGTGACCAGGAACCATGGGTGTGTTCACTGGTTTGCAGTTGATGAGTCCTGATTCATTTAAGATATCCAAGGCGTATTTGCGTTGGCAGATCAGAGACTTAAGCCAGTGTCACTCATATTGGCTTCAATTCCCAGAAAGTACCCCAGGCTTCCTAAGTCCTTTATCTTGAATGCAGTGTCAAGAAATGTTTTGAGTTCTATTATTAGGTGTAAGATGGGGCTGGACACGAGAATGTCGTCAACATATATGAGGATTTCTACGAACGATGATCCAGAACCTTTGGTATACAGTGAAGGATCGAATTTTGATTGAACATACCCTTTTCCAATCAAAGCAGAGCTCAACTTTGCGTTCCACTGCCGGCTGGCTTGCTTCAAGCCATAGAGGGATCTCAAGAGCTTGTACACTTGCCCTGGTTTGTCACCTTGGAAGCCAGGTGGTAGAACCATGTACACCTCTTTGTTTAAATCCCCATGTAGGAAGGCGTTATTGATGTCTAGTTGATGAATATGCCAAGCACGGGAGGAAGCTGTAGCCATGAAGGTGCGTATGGTGGTAATCCTAGCAACCGGTGAGAATGTTTTGATGTAATCGATACCAAGCTGTTGGGTGTATCCCTTTGCAACCAAATGTGCCTTGCAACGTTCTACCGAGCCATCAGCTTTAAGCTTCACTTTGAATACCCATTTACACCCAATTGGTGTCTTTCCGGGAGGCAGATCAACCAAAGTCCAAGTGTTGTTATCTTGTAAGGCCTTAATTTCAACTGCCATTGCATCCTTCCAACAGTCATGCTTTACGGCTTGGTTGTAAGTTCTAGGCTCAACAATGTTAGTAACAGCCATTGAGAATAGCATATGAGGTTCAGATAAGTGATCATATGAGATAACTTTTGATAGTAGATGGGCAGATGAACCTTTATGTATGGCAGCCTCACAGAAGTAGTCTTGCAGTCTGCTGGGAAGGTGGCGATTTCGACTAAATCGTCTAGGCTGAACTGGTGGGGTAGTACATGACTGGGAGGAAATCTCTTGGGGATTATTGTTGGCAGTGTTTGACTGATCATTTGAACTGCCTTGCGAGTGTAAAGTGTTATGATCTGGCTCATTTGTTTGTGGCATCGACTCATCAGCGATATATGATTCATCAATGGGAGGATGTTCCCTATGAATTTCCAGTATATCCGTTTCTGATCCTCTCTGCACTCGATTTTTGGTATGCTCTTTTAACATAGGGAATTCAGCTTCATAAAAAGTAACATCCCTCGATATGAAACAGGAGCCATCTTCCAGATCATACAATGTGTATCCCTTTATGCCGGCTGGAACTCCAATGAAAATGCACCTTCTAGCTCGAGGTGCCATTTTATGTCTGCCATGTGGGAGAGTTGCTGCATAACACAAGCATCCAAACACTTTGAGGCTGCTAATGTCTGGACTATCACCATATAGTTTTTGGTAAGGATTGGACCACTCAATTACTGGAGAAGGCAGCCGGTTTATGATGAAAACTGCGTGCAGGACACAGTGCCCCCAAAAACTTAATGGAAGGTGTGCCTGAAATCTGAGAGACCTCGCCACATTAAGTATGTGCTGATGCTTACGCTCTACAATGGCGTTTTGTTGCGGAGTATTAACGCATGATCGTTGGTGAATGATGCCATTACTTGAAAAGAATTCATCCATTTTGAACTCGGGGCCATTGTCACTGCGAAACACTTTGATTAAAACACCAAACTGAGTGAGCACATATGCATGAAATTGTTTGATAAATTGTCTAGTTTCGGATTTACATTTCATCAAATGTACCCAAGTAAATCTTGAAAAATCACCTACTATAGTTAAGAAGTAGTATTCTCCTCTTAAGGAACAAATTGGGAAAGGTCCCCATATATCAACATGAACTAGATCAAAACTAGCTTTTGAATGTGTAACACTTGAGGGGAATGGGGATCTTTTATGTCTTGCTAGATGACATATATCACAAGCCATGGGCTTCTTATTTGATACATCAATGCCACTGAATAGATGTAGCTTATTTGTGGGGAAGTGTCCAAGTCTTTGATGCCAGGTTTCCATGCTAGTACTTTGCATGACATAGCATTTTTCAGTCACTCTTGGTGGTTCTGTAAAGAAATATAACCCCTTCTCCTCTCTAGCTATACCAGTTGTCAATCCATGATCCTTCTGAATTAAGCATTGTCCAGACAAGAATATTAGTTTGCGGCTGTGTCATGAAGTAATTTACTCACAGAGATTATATTGAACTTGAATGAGGGAATGTGCAGTGCTTCCTTTAGCCATAGATCATTATTAATCTTCACATCACCTATATGAACAACAGATATACACTGTCCAGTAGGAAGATTTACTTCAATTCCACTAACAGATTGGCAATTAGTAAGAAAATCCATGGAACACACAATATGATTAGTGGCTCCCAAATCAATAATCCATGTGGAAGAACACAGTGAGAGAGAATTAATATATGTTCCAGGATACTTGCCTTCATCATTGGTGTGCTCATCAAACTTTGGAGTTAGGGAAACTGCCGCAGCATTTGTGGAACTAAATGCCATTGGAGGTGGCTGGTTTGTCTGGTTCTGAATCATAGCAAAGATCTTATGCAATTGTTCATTAGAAATTCCCAGATCCATTGAGTTATTCATGGTTGCAGCAGTAGCCGGTTGTTTTCCCTTTGATTTGTATCCCGGTACCAGGAGGGTAGCCATGCTTCTTATAGCATTTGTCAATTGTGTGGCCAGACATGCCACAATAAGTGCACTTTGCCTTAGTTAGATTTGATCTTCTGCCATTGTAGGAGTTTAGTGCAGCTGATACATTTTCATCACATGTGGATCTTTGTAATGCATTTGAGTGATTAATCTCCAGGCCTCCTAAGTTCAAGTTGGTTAAACTAATTTGTCTCTCCAATTTCTCTGCCATTACAAAGATTTTATACACCTCTGGCAATAGATCCAACACAAGAACATTTGATTTCAAATTGTTATAATCCTCATTTAGGCCTTGTATGAATCGGATTACCTAATCCGTATCTCTTTCAATTCTTATTTGAACCGCTAAGTCACATGAGCACCTTGGATTGCACTTGCATAATGGGATTGGCCTTAGCGTGTTTATCTCCTCCCAAAGCGTTCTGCATTTTGTGTAGTACTCATTAACAGATAATGCACCTTGCTTCAAGCTATAGATCTCACTCTGTAGGATCGAAATACGCTGAGCATCCTGTTGTGAAAATCGTTTCCTAAGATCTTCCCATATATCTATGGCTCTGTCAAAGTGCATCACACTTTGAGCAATAGATGGATGCACAGATTTGAAGATCCAAGAACAAATTATCAGATTGCAGCGCCTCCATGCTCCGTACTGCAATTGATCTCTGCTTGGTTGTGGTCTGGTTCCATCAATCAACGACCACTTGTTCTTGACTTCTAACGCAATCCGCATGGATATGGCCCAAGTTCCGTAGTTTGAGCTTCTAGTTAGAGGCGGACTTACGAGGATCGCATTCGGATTATCATTGGAGCTGATGATGAGAGGACTCTCTAGTTCCTCTGTGATGTAAGTTCTTTGCTGTTGAGCGAACAAGTTCCTTTGCGAAACAGTCTGTGGAGCTGCTTGTGGATTGGTGTGAACTGGAGATCACGTATTTGGCGTTGTGGTGTGTGCTGCTCGACTGGAGTCTTCAACGCCGGAGACGACGGCGGCATAGGTCGCAAATTGCCTATCTGATACCATATTCGACATTATTATGCTTGAAGTGAAATGAATGGAGAGGAAACTAACAGGAAAGGAAATGAGTTGACCTTCATTATTGAATAATATCTCACGGTTACAAAACAAGAAGCTAATCTGTTTATATACAAGGAGTAGATATAACTAACTCCTGAGGTGTGAAGGGACCTGAGTGCTCTTCAATATTCTTACTGCTAACAGCCTTCATTTGTTCCTCTGCTTTGTCACCCTCATGCTCCAATATCAAAAATAAATATATAGTGATACGCTCTACTAATACATGATTAACTTGCCCACAAATACAAATATATCTTCACAATTTTCCATTATATTATACACCGTTTTGACAAATGTTGGCCACCACTGAGCAGTAAATACTGATTTCTGCCAAAAACAATTTTTGTCAACCTGTGAAAAATGACTTCCCACCAAATTACCTTGTTTTCCTAAATCAAATGAAAAATGATTTCCATTGACTTGATTTTCCAAGCACATCCAAACTCTGAAAACTGAAAAATGATTTGAAGAAATTATTTTCAGTGATTTCCAACACACCCTAAAAAGAAAATGTTGCAATACAATCATATTCCCTTATTTCAAAAATAAATATATAGTGATACACTGTATTGATACATAATTAACTTGCCCACAAATACAAATATATCTTCACAATTTTCCATTATATTATACACCATTTGGAAAATGTTGTCCACCACTGAGTAGTACTTCCCCAATCAACTTATCCAAATTTAGAAATGATGAGCCTCCAACACTAGTAGCCACCTCAGCTCTTTCCTTCCAAAACAATGCCTTCTTCTTCACCTCTCTACCATTCTCTCCTTCCATCAACTCTCTCACCACACTCTCAACGTTCTCTCTCTTCACATCATTCTCTATCTCCAAACCGAGCCTCCATTGCGAGCAACAACAATAGCGGTTTATCGGTTGGTCGGCGAAAAACGACCAACAGACCATCGCCATTCCAGCGCTCATACTCTCCACCATAGAATTCCACCCGCAATGGGTCAAGAATCCTCCGACAGAAGGGTGGTTTAGTACTTGTTCTTGATCGCACCAGTTGACTATATAGCCTCTGTCCTTGACCGCATCCATGAACTCGGGAGGGAGAATTGTGGACCAGTCGCCAGATATGAGTTCTGGGCGGATAATCCACAAAAAATTCTGCATGCTTTTACTCAGTCCCATTGCAAACTCGACCAACTTTTCTGGGTCGGTAACTGTCATACTCCCAAAGTTCACATAAACTACTGATTTTGGGATTTTAGTATCCAGCCATTGAATACAAGTGGAATCTTCTTTCCATAGATTACATTCGATTTTGTCGATTTCATCACTCTCTGGTAATCCGTGGAGAAGCATTGGGATGGGGCCGATAGTGTAGACCCGATGGAACATAGAGGACAATGTCTTGCACACCTCGGGCTCTAACTCATCAAATGTGTGAAAGATGAGAGCTGAAGCTTTGTAGCTTTTTGAAGCTACTTCAGAAATGATATAGTCAATGAAGGGGTCATTTGGATCTGTGGACCAAGCTGTGGTTGGGATATCACTCAAGGGAATACTTTCGACTCCAGGGATCCAATCAATAATATAGTCACCAAAATTGGCATCTGTATTGCAAAAACATATATTTATCATGAAGCATTTATTGGAGGATATCTGATATGATCTTAGATCTAGGCACCCGCCCTAAGCCCAATGTTAGAAGGACCCCTAACTTGGTTTTTACACAACCTTAAAATTATTATTTAATATTATAATTTATTTAATCATTAATTAATATATATGGTATGTTCAGGTGTCAACATGCGAACTAAAGGAATACACAAAAAGTACAACTTCGCGACTACTACACAAATGCACTACACCTACTACATGAATGCATCGAAATTACTGCACGAATGCACCGTGTTGTTGTGCATTCATGTAGTACTTATGGTGTTGTGCATTCATGTAGAAATTACAGTGCATTCATTTAGAAGTTCGTGGGTTTGTACGAGAAAGTTGGTTTCCATTTGAAAGCAACTATATGTGTGTGTGTAGAACTATTGTTTTTACTTTACCTTGGACCTATAAAATAATAGACGTAGCAGGTATACAAATGGATGGGATGTCATAAGCTAAGAGAAATTATTTGTTAACACCTTTGTTTTTGGAAATCTTGTCACGGAGGTCAGAAGAATATATGTGCATCAAACTGGCGACGGCGCTAATCGGCCAAAACAATACTACCGGAATACCGAGCTCCTGGGCAACCCCAACAGTGAACGCCACAAAAGTATCAGAAACAACACAAGAAACTGGAGGAACATCTGACGATCTGTTCAGCCTATGAATCAGCTCCATGAACGGAGCATAGCAATTCTTGGCCGTGGAGAAGCAGAGGTCGGCCACGTCGAGAGCGGTGTCGGGATTTTCCCGTGAGGGAAGGCCGTCGGGGATGGTTTCGAAACGGAAAGTGGGTGATTGGGTGAGAGGGAGGAAGTTTCTGGCTTTCATGATGTGGGTATAGTTGAGTTGAGTGAGAACATAGGTAATGTGAAAGCCTCTGTGATGAAGAAGCTTGGCTAGCTTGAGCATGGCGGATATGTGGCCTTGAGCTGGATAGGGAATGCAGACGGCATGTGGCCTTTGGACCTCCATCTATCTATCTTTCCCTCTCTAAGCTTTCTTTAATTTCTTGTTTCTCGATATGCATATATGTTCACTTCAAGCATACTTATATACGCAAATTATTGGCCAACCATCTTAAGTTGCTCCCTTATAAGATAAGGGAGATTGTGAGATTAAACTTTGGTGGAGATGATATTGGCTCTTTGTGCTTAGACTAATTCTGCTTAGGCTAATTATTGTGTAGCTGCGTGGACTATGGTCGAAAACAATATTGCTAAATTTTATGTGTTAGAATAATAAAATTTTAGAGTAAAAATAATGTACATTATGTATTATAATAATGTACATTATGTGTTAAACTAATGTATTTTATGTGCTAAAATAATGACACTTTTGGAATAAGATAATATAAATTATGTGTTAGAATAATGTACATTATAATTTATAAAAATTTATATTGCAACGAGTCACATAAAAAAAAGTACGTTAAATAACGTCATTTTTGAACTGTGGTCCACATAAATATGTAAACCACAGTCCATATTGTACTTATATATTAGCGGGCTAGTTGTTCTAACATTCATCTTACTAATGACCTTGTGATCTAGTGAGATGAAGTAATTCTCTCAAGTGGAAGATTATATATTTAACTTTTTGTGCTTCAGTAAATTGATAAAGTGGTTATGAACAGATACTACAGAATCAGTAATATTTAAAAAATTCACAATTTTTATTTATGTAGTTTTCGTCTCGTACAGATCAACACGTGAGAGGGGAGGTTTAAGCGCCAACCAATTATATAATAAGCGTCAAGTTGATTTATTTAATCTATGTTTGTTAATATTATAAATGAATTTTCTAATAACTACTGCCAAAGCTCGCGGCTACAAATCTTTAAATATGCATAAAGGCTCAATGATATTTGCTCATAACATTTTCAGACAGTTTTTCTTGTACTCGATGTTTTAATGGTTGAACCTTACTACATGGAATTCCTCATCTGCCCTTCTGATGCATCGTCCGTTCAAAATTCGGATGTCTCCGACTTGTAAAGTATAAAAAGATTATTAGCTTTTTACTGTAGTCATATGCTGAGCTGACAACCCATCTCATACCTATTGTACTTCTTTTTCTGACAACCCATACTTGCATTTAATGTGAATGTTTCTTCTTTTACGCCATTGAGGCTTCAACTCACAACCTCCAATATGAGAGTCTAACATGGATGCCATCTGAGCACAAGGTACTTGGCCAGTTTATTTCGTAAGCTTTCGAATATCAAACGATATTGAGCTGGAAGAGCAAAATTTCATGGCGATGATAAATGAAGCCAGAGAGGTTAGTACTTAGTAGAGGTTTATGCATATATTACCGATCTTATTCAATTCACTAAAATACTAAAGCATTATATTGCGTGAACCACTTTCAAAAGCGGTGGAAACTGAGAGCTCCGGCGCCCGAGCATACCTATGTAAATCCGAGCTGAGAAAGCTCTGGACGCTATTTATGTGTGTTGCTACGGCCAGGATCCTATGGAAGAAGAAGATCGACGGCTGCTGTGCATCCTGATAGTGCTTTCAGATTTGGGCACTAGAAATAATTTTTTAAAGCTGGCCAGCTGCATCTATGTTCTACTTACATTTATTTTAATTGCATGGTGATAGTACTTTGCAAATCTTTTAAGAGCTACTTTGATAGTTTAATTTAGATGAAAGCTTCAACTTTATTCTAGCTCGTGTATAAGCATTTAGCTGAGCCTTTGTATAAATTTATTTTAGTCCTGTCTACCTCGCCGACGATGGCTCGTCGAACAACGAGAATGGGAAATGGGAAGCCATGGCGGTTCAGGTACTCTTACAAACATAGAAAGACCAAAATGTTCTTGGATTACACAGCCTCTCAATCGAAATACTAACGTGGACTAAAAGTGGAACACGTCCAATAGCAATGATTGTAATGTGACAAAATTAATTAAGGTGGACTAAGATTAGATACGTCCATATAACAGTAAGACCAAAACTAGAATTTACTCTTTAAACTTTAAACTTATTTTTTAATCCATTTAAATATAGTTTATGCTTAGCTTAATCATTCATTTGAATGAATTAAAAAGCCTGCAATGGTTTCTTTTAACCCCTATCTGCAAAAACCCTTTAAATATAATTAAAGTTGCCATCTAATTAAAACGTGTTCCAGATCCAGATCCATGATAATGACGGGTACAATACTATAATCCACACAGATTTTATTTGTCCCATTTGGTGGTCAACTTGAATAAATTTTGACATAAATTTCATTTATAATAATTTCAATTATATATTAACGAATCACACTTCAAATATTATTTATTTCACTTTAATATATCTGATCTGATAGGAATATATGGTATGCATACTTTTTTTTTTTTTTTTGTAAATGTGGTCCGGATCTTTTCCTGTTCGTTTAACAGTTCAGGTCCACCCGATTAATCTTCATTCGCTCCGCCAATCTTTCTAGTTGTTGATTTTTCCGATCACTTTACAAAATTGGATGCTATGTGATCGGAAATAGCGACAAAAGTTTTTCCGGATATCAAAAGTGGTCGGAATAGTAACTTCCCCTGCGCGCGTGTGCCAGTAATGCTGCACCGCCACGCCAAACCGGTTAATGGAGAACTTAGCATATCTCCCTATTCTGATACTATAAATAGAGACCTCCTTCAATCAACAAAATAATTCAATTTCATAGACTTAGTACACTTCCCGACTACAATAGAGCCAGCCTTCGGAGCTCCTTAATTATATTCTACTTGAATTGTACTAAGCTAAGGATTCAATACTATCAATATAATACTTATATTTTACTTGACTATGGCCCTGTTTGATAAAATGGCTGTTAGCTGATTGTGTTAATTAGAGGGTATAAATAGTTGATAACAATAGCTGATTGTAAAAAAGTGTTTGGTAAATTAGCTGTTAGTTGATAGCTGTTTGGTATAATTTCTTTTCCCAAAAAGCTAATTGAAAAAGTTGCTTGGAGTAGCTTTTTGAATTTTAGCCTTTTGGAGTTGCAAAAAGCTAATTAACCAAACATTTGTATTGATATTTTAACTAAATCAAACAATTAATAGTGGTCAAATAAGTCAAAATTAGCCTATAGGCTAATTTTTTACCAAACAAGGCCTATGTATTTCCATTATATTGTTATCACTATATGCCTAGCATATATAGATCCAGTACTTATTAGAGCATCCACAATGGTTGGAGAGAATTGTGGGAGAATGTAAGAGTAATTAGGAAAGAGAAGATGGGAAGGAAGAGAAAAAAGGAAAAAAAAATTGCAAAAAAGAATATTTTATGATTGTCAGGCGAGAGGCGCGCCTGACGCGCCCAGGGGCGTGTGCAGTGCGCTGGGCGCATTGGTGACAGCCACGCATGGCTGTCACCACTGGTATAAATTGTGGTAGGTCCCACAAATTCTGAATTCTCCCCAACCTTTGCAGGAGCAACTCAAATTTCTCTCACCTACGCTCTCTCTCTTCCATGTAGATAAAGTTTTCTTGTGTACCGTGAAATCTTCTTTGGTGTGGATGCTCTTAGCACTATCAATTACAAATGACATTTATATTTTTAATCTTTTTTTATTTATATTTCACTTTTAATTGTTGACGTATTTGATATAAAATTTCACTTTTAGCCGCCTAAAATAAATTTCATGCGACCATTATATTAAGGGTGTATTTGGAAACCAGAAAAAAGAATTTTGGAAATATTTTTTTTAAATGAGTCATTTTTAAAAAAATTATTTTTATTTTCAGTGTTCGGTTGCATTCCATAAAATTATCTTGATGTGTTTGATTCATTTTCTAAAAAATGAGTAGTTGTATAATTAAACGTTTTAATTTTTTTATTTAGAATATAAAAATATTTATAATAATATTAAAAATAATAATATTTATTAAAAATTAAAAAGAAAAAAAAAAACCTCTAGTTTCCCGTTGAAACTAGTAAATACTGGTTTCTGCCAAAATATTATCAACCTGTGAAAAATGACTTCCGCCAAATTACCTTATGTTCCTAAATTAATGAAAAATGATTTCCGTTTGTTGGAAAAATAGCATTAAAATGACATTTTAAGTGGTTATTTTGTGGTCGGGTCAAAGTAGATTCGGGTTCTTCGTAGTGAGACGAAGAGATTGATATATTATACGCTCAAAACAGATAATGGGTGAATGAGATATTGTTTGGTATCCGGAAAAACCTTTGTTGCTATTTCCGACTACTTTTTGGTATCAACTTGATTTAAGATCACTTTCAGGTGGTCAAAAATTTCATAATTTCCACTAGTGACTATTTATACAAGAGTCCTTTAGAGGCTTATTGAATTGTATAACATAGAGGCTCTCTCTTGCGTGTGCAAATCAAATCCCAAATTGGAATCGAAAAGGCTTGATTCAAGCTTGAGTTGGCAGGCCTTGCGGGTTAATTCATGCTAACTTTCGATATCATTTTTCCAAAGTCACTTGAAAGTTGGACCTTGGTCGAAAGTTCGACCTTGGACCTTGGTCGAGAGGAGGTCGAAAGTTAGACCTTGGTCGAGAGTTGGTCGAAAGTTCGACCTTGGACCTTGGTCGAGAGTTGGGTCGAAAGTTCCTCGAGAGGAAGCCGAAAGTTTCTCGAGAGGAGGCCGAAAGTAACACAGCTGGGACAATACTTGTGGGATTAAATTCATCCGTTACGGAATTAATTGTCTATTAATTCTAATTTTAAAATTTGAATTTAATATCACTTAATGGTGGTTGTTTCAGGTGTTACAAATCATTTGTTAAATGCCAACTTGAATGCTATTGATCCTTCATTTCCTATATAAGAAGGGAGTTGGACAGCAGATTTTTTGACACACAGTGAACAAGAACACAACAAGAGAGATACACACTTGCACGTTTTTCAAAACTCTGCTTCTACTCCTTTCTTTGCCTAACTGTGTTCAAGGCTTTGCTCTAGTTCGCCGGGTTCGTTCGTTTGGGGCTCAAACGTCGGACCGTAGCACGTTTTATCCTGGGAAACCTAGGCCACAACGCTTCTAGCACTTTTGGGAGGTGGCAAATAAGGTTTTAAGGAAAGAGTGAT